AAATTAAATACTATAGTGTTATGGATGATGAGGTTACAGATAGCTATGCAAATCAGGAGATTCTCTCTGTTTGTGTAAGATTTGTGGACACTTCAAATCCAAGAGAACCTCATATCAATTAAGCTTTCCTTGAATTTCTTTATCTGGACAGAACTCGAGGGAAAGATATTGCAGCAGGAATTCTTCATCTTCCGGACGTAAATAAGTTTGACTTGAAACATCTGAGAGGTCAAGCCTACGATGGAGATGTAGCAATGTCCAGTAAGCATGTAAGCACCCAGGCACTAATAAGAGAAAAGGCACATCTTAACACACTGCAGCTCACATGTATTAAACCTACCTATTGCACATTCCTGTACAGTTCAATCTCTGCGCGACATGATCTCCACCATAAATGAACTACATCGATTTTATGACAAATCACCCAAGAGACAAAGGTATTTGGAATCTTGTCTTGATAGTTGTGCTCCAGACAAAAGAGTGCACACACTCAAAGGCCTTTGTAAACCAAGATTGGTGGAAAGGCATGATTGTTTTGATAGCTTTTTCAACCTCTACCTATATGTCGTAACAGGCCTCCATTCAATGATTACTCCAAGAATGTATCCTGAACTTCTTCCTGGACAACCATGGGACTGGGATAGGAAAACTTACATTGATGCGACAGGACTTCGTGCAGCTCTGACAAAATTTCAGAGCATTCTGTGTCTTGTGGTTCTCAGAAATGGGTTGTACCCTGTCCAGGGACTTAGTCAGAAACTACAGAGGAGAGACAAGACATTTATGAGGCTTATAAAGACATATACTTTGTGAAGGCATAGGTCAATAAGCTACGCAGAAACATTGACAAGACATGGGATGAATGGTATGTTGAGGTAACAAATCTGGCAGACCACGTAGGGAGTGAAGCTCGCCTTTCCAGAATAAAAAAAATCAAGAAGAATCGTGCAAATGTTCCCTCTAATAACCCAAACAGTATTACAAGAGATCTTTTGTGACACCATTCTTTCATAACTTTCAATCATAGTTAATGGACATATTCAGCCCAGAGTCAAGAAAATTAGGAAACATAACAGCACTAGTACCTGAAGCCATTGGGAAGTTGTCACCAGCAGAACTTGCCACTGTAGCAGAACATTTGCACTTCTGGGATGAAGACTTACCTTATCTTAGTTTGCTTCACCAAGAAATCATCAGATGGTACAGATTTTGGCAGGCCAAATCAAGAGACTCCATCACAGGAAACCTTGTCACAATCCTGAGGGATGCAGATTTAGATTTCTTCCCAAACATAAGATGAAACATAACTACTCTTGATTGGCTGTTCATCTTCAATTGGCAGCTGTGAAGCTGAGAGATCATTCTCTGCCTTAAGAAGAGTTAAAACAGCTCTCAGATCAACAATGGGAGAGGAGAGGCTTAGTGGTCTCACACTCATGCATGTGTACTATAATAAGAAAACGCTTCTACTACATGTTCATGAAGTGGGGGAAGAATTTGTGCAAAGACAGGCCAGGCAGGTTTTCTGTAGATCAATAATATTTGAATGATTCTGAAATGTATTCATGTGTGTCTACCTTTTTATCCTGGAAACATGGGAATGTGTAGCTTATATGTTTGTGTGTTTTTAAGTGTTGATGCATTGCACTTTATCTAGGCATAGATCTAACATAAACAATAACAGTAGAATTCAATTCAATTCAGTTCAATCTTTATTCACTTCATCATAAATATAAAATACAATAAGGTATAAAAAAAATACAATAAGGTAGATAAGATGCATGTTAAAATATTTGATGAAATTGAATCGATGAGCCCATAGGCATGAATGTTCAAGCATTGATAAGAGTTTACTGTGGTCTTTAAGAATTGTATTGTTTTTCATTTTGTTTTAATGCATCTTAAAGTAAAGTGCGTTTTTCATTCCTAAGGGCTCATCGATTCATTGAAAACAGTATACGTATGCACCTATATAATTTCTTTTTCTGTATGTACACACATATAATAAGCCTAGGCTCATTTACTGTAATAAGAATGAGAAAATGTACCTGACCGTTTTCAAAAGGGGGAAAACGTTACATTTTGAAGAACTTAAAAACTATTAAAAGACACCTCAGAAGTCAGAAAGCTCATTTCCCGCCATCTAGGAATCAAAATTTTCCCGGTGGAGGACTCCCCTTTCATAGTTTTGATTTGAAACATTCGGACCCCCTAAAATTGAACTCAGATCCGCCCGTGCAATATCTATTTTTCCGAAGTGGTACTGTTCATGGACCTACAAAAACACCAGATTCAAGTATTTAATTGTGATGTACTGTGCATCCATTTATTATGTCATGACATAACAACATCAGCACTTTGAGGAAAAATGTTTTATCAAAAAAAACCTGGGTTGCTACATATTTGTAGGTTGATTGATTTTAAAAATAAATTACTTTATTTATTCAAACATCACATCTCAAACAGTAATATAAGGCCAAAGACCAAATTGCATGCTACTTGTGTTACATATTATTAATTAAAAAAGGATGTATAGGGGCTTATAATAAAAGACTATACAGTTAAAATGTTGCAATATCAGAAAAAAAAAGTAAAAAATAAAAAAATTTCAACCAATAATTTGAGCAACTTAATAATAAAGAAAGGGGGCATCTCACACTGCCAAGTTTGCTGTTAGTAAAGTATAACATTATAATTTTAAAATTATAATTATAATAAAAAGTATTAGAGAGCTGTGGACAATAGGCCAGAGTCTAAGCCCTAGTATTAGGCCTAGTATATTTTGGTAGGGTAGTTATTTATTAATAATTATATTACAGTATTGAGGTGTAGAAATAAAGGGAAAAAATAGACTATTTAGGTCATAAACAGGTTGCTCTGCTCTGCTAGGTATACTTCTTCAGTGAAAGAAGGCGAACTTGTCATGTAAACTAGGCCTAGGCGTGTTGCATTGATCTCTCTTGCATCCTGATTGATGATATGGGATAGGGAGGGTAGGTCCATCTTCCAACTACGCCATGGGTAGGCCTTGCCTAGACTGGGCCTAGATGATAGAGTCATGAGATGCATCCCTCCTTACAATTTTACCTTGATCGTTGTGGATACGTATACAGTACTAATAGTGAAAACTTACTCTGAGAAAACCATAGTCCGCAATCGGTGAATCAAACCTATATACTTTATTGGGATCACTCTTACTCGCACCGTATCAGTATTCGAGTGCGAGTTGGTTGACTCTTGTGCAATGATGTCATCTTATCATTAGCCAATTAGAGCGCTTTATATGTTTCCCTATGCTTGACTCTTCACGAAAAAAAAATCGCAGCCAGGGATTGGTGTGGGTATGGGGAGTCCCCTCCTCCAAAAACGAGATTTTGTTTTTAAATTGGGACTTCTAGATGGCCGGAAATGGCACAGTCAGCTTTGCCAGGCTTGGTGTAGGCAGCACAGTACTAAGATGGGTAAAGTAGTCTTTTTTTTTTTGGTCTGACTACCCAACGAGCTTTGACCGATGGCGGGCAGACCATTTGCGGTCACACACCTGTCTCTTATACACATCTAGATGTGTATAAGAGACAGGGCACCGCCGCTGGTCGCGACCTAAGTCATTAACATAATGTTCAGTACTTTATCACAAATAGTCTAATATTAAAGTAAATTGAAACAAGTGTCTACTGAATAATTGGAGATCAATAATTATTAAGTATGTACAGCCAACATTTACAGAAAAAGGCATATAAGCCTTGAAACGTGTAAAAGTCAGAAACTGATTTCCATTTTTGTACAAAGTGTTCTATTAGAGCAAATAAAAACATTATTATTGCGAACAAATTAGCACCAACATTAAACTCTCTACCACCATTGGTTGTTCAGATGATAAGGACTCTATGGCTGACATTAAAAGGTTTCAAATGTCAGAAACGGCATTTTGAGTTATTTTTATTTACACTAAATAGAAAAGTAAATGTCCTGAGCAAATTGACACTAATATTAACTCACCAGTGGTTGTGGAGATATAATGGGCCTATGTCTATGACCTTGAAATGTTTCAAAGTTCGGAAACAGCATTTCGGTCTATTTTAGCAAAATGTTCTATTAGACCAAAGAGAAACATTAATGTTTCAAAGAAATTGTGAAGATAATAATAAGCAAATGATACACAAACAAGTGTAGAATCGTATGACCGGACTCTATTCGTGATAGAGTTTCTATCATTAGCGGAAAGAGAAGGGCGCTGCGTACGTATGGATTTCCTTGGCAACAGTAGGGCGTCCTGTACGTCAGGATGTGGTCTGGATAAACCTGCGTTAATTGCCAGTATTGGAAGCAATAGGACACGTATCTATCCGTTTTTTTGTTTTTTTTTTTGCTATGCAAGAACTGTTGTGCTTCTAGTACTTTTGATATAAGGAGTCTTTGGCTATGAAACTGAAACGTGTCAAATGTCAGAAACGGCATTCTGGTCATTTTAGCAAAGTGTTGTATTAGAGTAAATAGAAATATGAGCGTTCCGAACAAATTGTTATTCAAATTTACTGTATGCATAACCATAACCATAACCATAACCTTGAAACGTGATGCCACTATTATCAGCTAGCTGACATATGAAACCAAGAAAAGAGGAACAAAAACAAAGACTGAACAGGCTTAGGAAAAACATAGAAATGCAAGAACAAAGTTCAGGAAAAACAGAACCAAACAACGATAAAGGCAAAACTAAAAACACAAAATGTAACAAAGATCTCCCAAGAGATTCTATTTATTTAAGAAATACTATACGTATGGATAATCTCTAAACCGCTAAAATGCTAAATTATAAAAAAAAATATTGTAAACTGTAAAGAATATTAATATGCCTAATAAGAAGAAAACCACTCCAATCAGGATTCGAACCAAGGTTTTCTGATGTATATGCATTGGAGGCAATTGAGCTTTCCTGCAAATTAAATCCGATGTTCGACGGCGATCAAAATAGTACAGGATATAAAAAAAAATCTCACTTCATCGACAGAAATACTGTCAAATACACTGCCAGATGCTGGTTGTGACACTTCCGTCCGCCTATTATTACCATTAAGATCAGATGATTCAATTTTAATGTCAGCTGCACGGTTGTCAGTCCAGTATATCCTAATAATAATAATAATAATAATAATAATAATAATAATAATAATAATAATAATAATAATAATAATAATAATAACAATGGTAATAGACCCTGATAATTCAAAAAGATTATTTTATAAACTCAGCATCTATACATCATGATAATGATACTACTACTGAAAAATATATTACTGTGAATGTAATCATCATTATCCTGTCATCATAATTAACTTGCGTGTGTTGACTATCTGAAATATAAATCGCAGTGTATTCATTACCTGTTAGTAGTGATATCAACTGCTATGGATCTCGGCTCGCTCAGCCCTGTAACAATAGTTGTTCGATTTGCGCCTGACATTGATGACCTCTCAATTTTTGGGGGATATTTATTCCCCAATTCAGTCCAAAACAGGTACCTTTAGTAGAAAAATAAACTATGATTTTAAATTACAAACTATACAAAAATATAAGTACACATTCATCTGCTTTTTCCATATATTATTCGGACATTAAAAAAGTAATTATGTTGTAGTCGCATTTTCCCACAAATTTAAAATATTCAAAAAACGTGTATCTTATTAACCTTCTCGAGTTTCGTCAAACACCACTTCAGTGTCTTAAAACCAGGTGTACAATATATCATTTTTTCTCAGGACCATAGATTATTAAGACGTGGACAGAATTTTACTAGATAAAAATGTTTGAACGAGTTTATAATGTCTACTAGGAACGCAGACTTCAGCGGCGTGTGCGAAGCACAACTCAATGCCAGTAGTGGAACGTGAAATTTAAATATGGTTTTGTAGTTAGTTTTGCGAGAAGATTTTCAGCTACCAGTATTTCTCGACTGAAACGTCAGTGGGTGCTGTAATTTGTAAAGCAAGGTAGATGCTACTGCCCTTATATCGTATTATGGAATTTACCCCCACAAACCTTGTAAGTATAAATATTTTTGTTATAATAGAACATTTTTATTTTTAGGTGGCGTCACACTCACAATATAGTTAACATGCATACGTCATAAGATTACGTCATTTTTTGCTGGTAAGGCAAACTTTCCTGGCGTGTTTTTTTCATGAATAAGCACCACTGCTTTGCACATGGATGCCTTGCCTAACCAGGGCAACAAGAGCCGCATTGTTAGCATTGTATATACTTAAACAAGGTACGTCTGCAACTGCATTATTCTTATTTATTTTTTTTCCTTAATTTATTTCTTTCGAAAGTGTACTTTATATTACATATAATTGCACTGTCTAATTAGGCGTTCCCCCACCCCGCTACACACAGTACATCTGTGCGTTAGGAAACAGAATGTGATGTGCCATCCTTTCCAGGTTTTCATATAACATTTGCATATTGTTGGCTAACCGACTTATGCTTACCGTCCCCCACTCACCCACGCTACAGTACAGACGTATGCTAGGCAACAGAACGTGATATTGCACCTTTCTTCCCAGGTGTTCATGTAACATTTGCATATTTTTTTGCTAACCAGCTGCGTGTATTCCTTTGTAAAAAATGAGTACCGCAGTATACTCATTTTCACAAAGTATTTGCATCTTTTCGTGGCTCATGAGACCGTGTCTCCATATCTTCGCTAATTAATCACCGTAATTTAGCTTAGACTTGTGCATGGAGTATCTGGAGCACTTGAAATGTACAATACTCATTTCACTACCGGACAAACCAAGAACTTTATTCATGCATTACATAAATATTTTCATGTTGCTGTACTCCAACATCACTGGCACATGGTAACAACCAACTGACTGCAGACCATTTGCGGTCACACACTACTCTGCATAACGCAGCACCCCCTAGTTCCGTCACCTCTAGATACCATTGATTCTACTTAGGAACTACAAGCATGATACAAGGAGCGGCGGTAACTATAGTCTGAGAGAAATGGATTTGGGGTATCCTCTACCTAGAACACCGCAGATTTAGTCAACCTCTAATATAATGAAATAATGATTTTAGCACTTGGTGGTTAAAGATTTGTTGGTTGCTGCAAAAGGAGAGGGTAGTGCGGGTTCCCATTTCGCTCCCCTATGAATCCGGCGGTATCTTGATTTAAACTCATTCAAAAGCTTCGGTATTTTTATGCATTTTTATTATTCTTTTAAGTTGAATTTAGAAAATACTGGAAAATGAAGTGAATTGCTCTACCATAATCACTCTCTATTCGCATTCTAAATAAATTACCATTACCATTATCAAATATTATTATAGGTTATTATACTTGTATATGTACAAGTACATTAAGTAGTAGCATTAGTATATTAGTATGTACATATTACCCTTTATAGGATGAAAAGCTATTCTCGATGGCCTTCCGATTTGGGGGGGGGGGGTAAGTGCATTTGTCCAAAGGGCCTTTGGTCCGAAAGGCCTTTGGTCCGAAGGTCCGTTGGTCCTAAGTAATTAATTCAAATAGACAAAAATATATTTGAAGAAAACGTGTTCGGGACCACCATGTAGGTCTTGGCTAATAATATACAATTATTGCTAGCATGACTTGTCAGCTCAGTTTATATATATTTTTAACAAATTATTAGAAATTGAAAAGATTTAAAGCGAATGTAAGTATACTTTCCTAATGTTTAAACAGGAGACAGTAAAGATTTTAATAATAATAGGGGAATTCAAGTAACTTCCATACAGTGTTTTGAAAATATTAAGTGTTTGGAAAATCTTAACAGATTGATTTACATAATATGCCGATGGGAAACAGTTAACGACTTTCTCCCTTTTACAAAGTAGTCACATTGGGAATGATGGACAGTATATGATTTTTTTGGGGGCGGTGGGGGGTGGCAAGTCCCCGACGAGAGCAATGTGGGCGTGGTCGGGTGTCAATTAAAATGTTTCGAAAGTGGTACAGGGCGCGGATTCCCCGGAAAATGTAACAATTTAGGGGTTTCAAAGGGTTATGCAATGGATTCTAAACAGATAGTCTACTAATATGTATAATACATTTTTTTTTCTCCCCGACGAATTGTGTCTTTCTCTACAATTCTGAGGGGGGTGGGTGAGGCAGCAACTGGGGAAACACATTTTCTAGGGGAAATTTTCCCCTGTGCCCCCTGTTTAGTGCTGCCACTGCACATTGAAAGCAAATAAAAGAAGCACTAGACATGATTCATATCATAGTACAGTGAGCTTTAATTCATAATACTACTGGTAATAGTTCAACTGAAATTCTTACTGGGAACATCCCCCTGTCCACGAACGATGGAGAGAGGAATTTTACTGATGTTAGTTAGCCACATTTTCGTACATTTCGCAAAATAAAGGAAATATATTGTTTTAATTGGTGAGGCCGCAAAATGGATGCGGGAGGTGACAAGAAACTAGTATTTTATTTTTACTTGGCCTTATATGTTGTTAGGGAAAATATTTGCTAATATTATTTTTGAAATGTAATCTTTCTTAATTTACTTCATAAATTGTAAGGCATATTTTTACTGCCATTCCTGGAAAGAAAGGTCACTAATTCGGACTAACGGGCCTTTGAACCAATGGACATTTCGACCAGCGGGCCTTCAGAACAATGACCTTAGGACCAATGGGCCTTCGGACCAAAGACCCGTCGGACCAAAGGTACGCACCCTTTCGAGGAATTTATCATCAATCGTAATGTCGAACGTAGGGTCCTCCAGTGAAATAATTTGTCATTTTGATCCAATTGTAGCCCTTTTCCACCCAGTACCTTAACAACCAGTCAACTGTCATACTTGGTTAATAAAGCAAGTGCAAGTCATCTTATACCACAATAATTTAAGAATATATTGATTATTAGAATAACGAGTTTCGATAAATCCATGACGACTTCAACAGTATGTTTATTCTCAGATAAGGCTAAAAAAATGTTGTTACAATATCTAATAATGCAAGATCTGTTAATTTTGTTTAAGGAAACCAATGTTAGGGTGAAGCATATCATGTGCCTTGAAAACGTCTAGCAGTCTATTATAAAACATAATTTAATTAAATTTGAAAACCATAAATGAGGAGAAATACAACAATAGTTGTATTTAAAATAATAGGAATTATATGGCGACCATCTTTTTTATATACTGCTGGGATTATTTTTGCTTAGTTTAATGTCAAAAATACTGGAAAATTAATTTAATTACTATACAATATCGTCACTCATTCGCACTCCAAAATACATTACATTACCATTACCAAATAGTATTATAGGTTATTGTACTTATGTACCTGTAGTAGCATTAGTATTTCAGTCTGTACATACCCTTTTATAGGATGACAAGCTATTCCCGACGGCCTTTCGAGGCCTGTATCAACAATAATAATGTCGGGTCCTCTGTCGAAATAAGTTGTCACTTTGATCCAGTTATAACCGTCGTCCACCCAGTACACATTTTGAGACAACCAGTCAATTGTTATAGCCTCCACTCTACCAGAGGTAAAACCTGAAATGCTATGGGCATAGCCACCAAGAGTTCCCAAAGCATCACTTAATAAAATCGCGTGATCATCTTTATCGTGGAAAGCAACATTTCCTGTGTGGTAATCAGAGGCTACTGAGGTCCAGTAGCGGGTCTGCAATTCATATGCCTTTTTATAGTTTAGCGTCATGCCACTGTTGTAGGAGTCTGGATTTGCAGATAGCCAACCAATAAAAGACTGAGGATTCTGGTAGATTGCCAAAATCAAAGTATTTCCTGTATCCTTTCCAAAAGCTGTAAATTTAACACGACACAATACTAATGAATAGAAAATTTGGAAAGTTGAGCTAGCGAAACTGTGTACGGTAATTTTATTTGACTATAAATAATATAGTCTTGTAACATAAACGTTCCGACATTCTAAAAACCATATCGATTAATCAATCTGTATTGTACTTGTGCATAATTAAAAAAAATACACATGCAAAGAAACTTTACATTTCCATACAGAGTTATTGATCATAATGTACAGCATTACATGTTTTGTTATAACAAATCAAAACACCTATAAAAGAATAAAAAATATTCTCTGACTAAACAAAAAAAAAATCTTATAGGCTTTAAGATCTACCCACTCCTCAAAATATAGTGACCTTTAATATACAACAAATCAAAACACCTATAAAAGAATAAAAAATATTCTCTTACTAAACAAAAAATAATAATTATTTGAATGCTGTTTAAGGAAACCATGGCTAGGATGAAAAATATTACGTGTGTTTCAATCTATTATTAATCATTAAAAAAAAAATTAAAAGCAAAATCAAGGTAAAATTAAAATAGAGGGGATAAAATAACTCGCGCAACCTGTTTAATGACGCCTGCATTGAGCATCGCCACCAAGAGTTCCAAAAGCGTAACTTAATAAAATCACGTGATTGTCTTTATCGTGGAAAGTTACATTTTCTGCGTGTTAATCAGTGGCTACTGAGGTCCAGTTGCGGGCCTGGAATGCATAACTCTTTTTATAGTTTAGGTCATACCACTGTTGTAGGAGTTTGGATTTAAAGGAAGCTAACCAATAAAAGACGAGACATTTGGTATATTCCCAAAAACAAAGTATTTCCTGTATCCTTTCCGAAAGCTGTAAGTTAACACGACACAATACTAATGATTTGAAAAATTGTAAAGTTGAGATAGCGAAACTGTGTACGGCTATTTTATGTGACTATAAATAATATAGCCTTGTAACATAAACGGTCAGACATTATAAAAACCACATCGATTAATAAATCTGTATTTAACTTGTGCATACTTAAAAAAATACACGTACAAAGAAACTTTTCATTTCCAAACAGAGTTCATTGATCATAACGTACAGCAATACATGCTTTTTGTTATCATTAAGTACAGCTTAGTTGGTGGGGAGGGGGGAGGAGAATGGGTGAGTCAGAAAAGCCCATTACGGCTTTAAAATCGACCAACTCTTTAAAATATAGGGACGTTTATTAATATACCAAATCAAAACACATATTAAAGAAAAAAAAAACAATGTTCTCTGACTGAACCAAAAAATTATACACAAAAAAAAAAAAAAAAAAAAAATATATTACTAAGTGCTTCAATTAATCATCAGAACAACTGCTCTTTTATTACCTCCGCAAATGAAGTTAGCAGTAGGTTATGTTTTCGCCTTGTTTTTTATTTAGTTATTTATTTGACTGTCGGCATATTTCTTGTGAACAGCTTATAGCCCACAGTTTTTAATAGAAATTCGTCAAACTTGACCACAATGTTCCTTTACCTAAGAGAGCTGATTAAATTTTCAAGGGTCAGTGTCAAGAGCCAAGGACACAATGAGCGAAAAACTATTTTTTAATTTATTTGTCTACATCCTATAGTTTTAATCACAAACCAAACTTATCAAACTCGGTCACAATACCTTACGACCAACGATCTTATTACCTCCGCCAACGAAGTTGGCAGAAGGATATGTTTTTACCCCTGTTTATTTATTTATTTATTTGTCTGTCGGCATATTTGTTGTGAACAGCCTACAGCCCATAGTTTTTATCAGAAAATCGTCCAACTTGGCCACAATTTCCCTTAACCTAAGATCTAGTGCTGATTAAATTTTGAAGGGTCTGGGAAAAAGGTCAAAGTCACAATCAACAAAAACCTTTATTATTTATTTGTGTACAGCCCATAGTTTTAATCACAAACTTATCAAACTTGGTCACAATGTTCCATCACTAAAGATCTCAAGTATTTGAATGTTCGAGGGCAAGGGTTGAGGGTCAAGGTCACAATCAACAAAAAAACCCAATTTTTTGAAAAAGTTTTTATCAGAAATCAAACTAGTCAAACTAGGCCACAATGTTCCTTTACCAGAGATCTAGAAGCGACTAAATTTTAAAGGGTAAGGGTCAAAGGTCAAGGAAACAACGATCGAAAACTTATATAACTGTTTGCCGTATAGAGGTGGGTGTGTATGTGCTTATACGGGCTCACATGACCATTAATTTCAAAGTGATTTATGTGAAAACAGGTTGTTGTAGTGGTAAGAGTGTTTTCCACACTACCAGCCCCTGTTTCAAATCCCAAGGAGTCTACTTGTATTTTTTTTTCATTATTATTTTTATTATGGGGACAATATGCGGGGAAATTTATCCTGAAAAACATTATGATGTGGGCGGAGGTATGCTCTTTCCGAGGGCCCTTTAGTTTATTATTAAGTTACTTCGCAACATAAGTAGATAATAAGTGTTGATTGTATTTTAATTCAAACCGAGAGGTTAAAAGTGCAACTTTTAATTGTAGGTCAATTTTGTACGACAAGTATTATCAGTAATTTATATGTTAGGATTAAATAGTTTAGAAGAGTTCGAAAAGTCATTTACATAGAATAATAAGAGTTACCTGCAATAAAGTATGTATGTAAACAATCAAGTTGCTGATAAATTCCAAGAAGATAAGATCCTGAATTTGAGTAGTTACTGGCTAATGATATTTAATATTGATAAATGCAAGGTAATGCATTTTGGTCACTCAAACAAGCTTTTTAAGTAGTCAACTGATCGCAAGGATCTTGGAGTAGTTGATTATATTAAAAGAAATTTGGAGTAGTCATTACTAGTGATTGCAAACCAAGTTTACAATGCTTGGATATTTTTTGAGAGACTAAGATACGGGATATAAATGTTTTAACCTAAAACTTACTCATATATATACATATGGAGTAGTTGATTCTATTAAAAGAAAATTGGAGTAGTCATTACTAGTGATTGCAAACCAAGTTTACAATGCTTGGATATTTTTTTTGAGAGACTAAGATACGGGATATAAATGTTTTAACCTAAAACTTACTCATATATATACATATGGAGATGCTGCCCGATGGCGTAACCACTGGGGGACAAGGGGAAAATATCTATCTTTGGAAAATCTTCCCCACCCCTTTATAAATGCCCTTTTCATCCCTTAAAAATTCCTATAAACCTCAAATTTTCCGCGCTTCGCGCGCATTTCTTGTTACCATGGGCCAATTTCTTCTAAAAATTGCACATTTTAGGGAGTTTTGATAAATTCCAAAGAAATTAGAATTAAAAACACCGGGGACAAGTGGAAAATATCCATTGTTTGGAAAATCTTTCCCCACCCCTTGACAAATGCATTCTCTGAAAGTGCCTAAAATTCTCAAATTCTTTGTGCGCATTTATTGTTACGGTAGGCCAATTTCCTCTATCAATTGCACATTTTAGTGAGTTTTCAATAATTCCGACGAAATTAGAATTAAAAACACAACAATATTTTGCGCGCTTCGCGTGCATTTTTTAGAGCTTTTTTAGGTTTATCCTTTTAAGTTATTTAAACACATAATATTCCCAAAAGGCAGGTCATTGCCAATTTGCGTCAGCGTGATGATATTATCATCAAACCAGCTGATAAAGGCTCTGCCACTGTCGAAATGGACATTACATTCTATGAAGAGGAGTCCTTAAGACAACTAAACAATCCTCTTCACTATCGGAAGCTCACAGGGGACCCCACTCCGGAAATTTCTAAGGAAGTGGAAAATCTGTATTTAAAATGGTTAAAAAAGGTTCCATCGATCCCAAAATTGGACCCCATCTCATCACAGGTCGATCGGCACCAGGACGTTTCTATGTCCTACTCAAAATCCACAAAGCAGGCCATCCTGGCAGACCCATCATTTCGGGCAAAGGTACTGCTACAGAAAAAATCTCTGAATATGTGGATGACTTATTGAGACCATGTTGTTGCTCTCCCCTCGTACATTCTGGACTCCACGGACTTCATCGCAAAATTAACCAAATTTCAAATTTACCTAATAATACTGTTCTGGCTACACTTGATGTTTTGTCATTATATACTAATATCCCTCCTGAAGAAGGTGTTAATGCGTGCATTTCAAATTACAAACAAATTCGGGGCAAAACCCCATCTAAATCACATCTACGTGAACTTATGCTGATTCTGACCTATAATAACTTTGTTTTCGGCGACGGTCATTACCTACAAATTCATGGCACAGCGATGGGCACTAAAATGGCTCCATCTTTTGCTAACTTATTTACGCGACAATTTGAGACCAATTTCCTGTCTCTACAGCCCAAGAAACCAGATGTTTGGTTTCGTTACATTGATGATATCTTCATGATCTGGACCCATGGTGAAGATAGTTTGGATACGTTCCTATTGAACATTAATTCGGCTCATCCCACAATCAAATTCACTTCTAACAAATCCACAAGCAGTATTGATTTTCTGGACATCACCGTGACCATGGAAAATGGTGCACTCAAAACTGATCTGTTCTGTAAACACACGGATAAGCATATGTACCTGCTCCCTAGCAGCTGTCATCCCCCGCACTGTACAAAAAACATTCCGTACAGCCAAGCATTGCGCATGAGACGCATTTGTTCTTCGGATTTAGATTTTCAGAATCGCACAAAAGAGCTATCCTAACCTTCGTGATATATTAGTACAATCTAAATTCAATAGGCAAATTAATTCTTGCGACAGCCATAATTTGGGTAGTCATCTTTGTGGTTCATCATGCAAAACATGCCCCTTGCTTGATTCTACACAATCATTCAAGAGCAACCAAACAAACCACATATTTCGGATAAGGCAATCAATTAATTGCCTCACCAAAAATGTCATTTATCTCATATATTGTAATATTTGCGGTAAACAATATGTCGGAGAAACAAAAAACACTCTACGTATGAAAATGACACAACACAGATCAGCTATCAGAACATCTAAGCTTGATCAACCAGTAGCCGAACATTTCAATTTAGCTCGTCATTCAATTTCAAATTTCAGAGTGATTGCAATTGACCATAATGCCAATTGGAGCGAAAACATCGCAAAAGATCAAAATAATTACTGGGAACTTTTACTTAAAACCACCTCACCTTTTGGACTCAATATTAGGAACGTTCTCCCAGTACACTAAATTAAACATATGGCATTCCAAGTTATTCTGGATAAAACATTTGGCTTATTCATTGAGGCATGCTTCTAATGTTTAGTTTTGGCCTTCCTGTTTACTTGTTTAGGCTGTTTATTCTAATCCCACCTAGCCTATTGTTTCTAATCATGCTTGCATGAAATTCTCCTTTATACTATCTGGCTTTTTCAACCCTCACTCACTCGCCACTGAAGAATTCTATTCTAATCTAATGTAACCTAAAGCAGAATTATAAAAATTAAAATATGTGAATTGTTTTCTGGTAGAAAGGTAGTTGGTTAATAAAGCAAGTGGAAGTCCCTTTATACCACAAATAATATAGTTTAGATTTTAGAATATAATGTATCGCAAGCTTTTGATAAACCATGAAGACTCGAATGATATGTTCATTCTCAGATAAAGCTAAAGAAACTTTGTTGAATATTGTTTACGGAAAACGTGGTTAGCATGAAAGATAATATGTACGTTTCTATCTATTATAATTCATTTCTTTTTTTTTCAAAAACAAATTAAAAGCATGAAAGAGGAAAAATAGGACAGTAGTTAGAAATAATATGTTGACCATATTTTTATATAATGGGGTAATTTTTTTTATTTTAAGTGTTGTTGAAACACCATTAGCAAAATCAAGGTAAAAATATGACAGAGGGGATGAACTATAAATTACGCAATCTGTTTAATGACGCCTGCATTATATTCACCATGCCCTCTGCTTTTACCGGCTTTTATTTCACGAAGAATCTCAATAGTTTCTTTAGCAGTAACATGTGAAAAAATATTGATTTATCATTGGACTTAAAAATTAGAATAAAAATCAGAAACAAATGTTGTCAAAATCTTTATAAAGTATTTATTTAACTTAATAATTTTTTGGGGATTCCAACAT